GCAAGAAAGCCCCCCCCCTTCCTCCCAGGAACTAGGAGGGGGGGATTTTTCCTAGGCCGACCCTCCTTCCTTCCAGCTGCACATTCCAAACTTTATTACCTGTCTATGTGATGCCCGCTTCTTTGAGGATATTTACTGAGCCTTCCCCCCCCCGCCACTTACAGCCTCCTCCTTTGCCAGTGTTAATTAGCTCCCTTATTAAAAGAGCTGACAGACAAGTCAGCAGCCCCTCTGATTCCATTGCGCTTGGGGGGGGGAACAGGGGGAGAGTCCTACCTGAGCCTGCCAAAGCCCGCCTCTGCAGGCCCCCTCACCTGCCCTTTGAGGACCAAGAGCACAAGGTCCCGGCCCCCCAGAGGCACAGGGTGATCGGTCTTCTGTAGGGTCACCCTGCACTTCCTTGCACTTGCAAACTATGCCATCTTACCAGTGCTACAGGACGCTTCATCCAGCTAAATGGTACCGCTTTGGGAAGGGAAAAGGGGAGGAGAGGAGGGCTCGAGTCAGATCACCGTGCAGGCGCTGTATGGCTTCTGACAAACATCCAGGCAAGAAAGGAACAGGATAGGACCTTCTCTTGGGTTTGTTGGGTTTCAGGGCTGGCTCCCTGGCCTGGAAGTGCGACTCGGAAGGGCAGATTTCCACCCTTTCCCACCTTGCCCACCCCTTTAAGCCCGATGAACAATTCTGAAGAACGTCTAGAGCAGCGCCTGTAAAGATGGAGCCCTCCTTCGCAGGGGGAAGCGGGCTTTTGGCTTCCATCATGGTGGGACCCCAAGTTCTTTGATGAGGTGATGGGGGGAAGAAGAGACATCCAGGGTGCCTTCCCCCCCCGCCAGCACTGAGCAACAGGGACCGGCATGTGTACGAGGCAAGGAGGCCCAGAAGCCCCTTTGCCAGATTGGGGGGAAGCGGGGAGGGGGCAGACAAAGGGCCCCGGGAGCGTCTTCCAGCGGTGGCCAGGTGTTCCTTGCCCCCACAAGGACGCAGTCAGCAAGACCCTTCCTGGTCCCCCACCGGGGACCCCCAACGTCTCACAACCTGCCACCGCCCCAACGGCAGCCGGGGAGATCCCTTCCTCAGTCCTGCTTTTGCCACGTTTCCAAGGGACGGCCTTGTGTTCACAAAATGTGAGGTTGACACCAAAGTAGGAAAATTGTGCAGCCTGACATCGGATGAGCTCACCCACCGGAGGCACAGAAATGGAATGAAACTGGACCATGTGAGGATCTGAGGCTCGCCCGCCTGGGGAGCCACACAGGTCTGTTCGGTTTATGGCGAGGGACTTGTCAGCTGGGCGGGACAGAGGAGAAAAAGAGGCCAGAGGCCCTTGGCCGGTCACGCGAGATGACTACTACCCATCTCTCCATGGGTGTGACAGAGGGAGGGGAAGGGGGGGTCTAGTTTATTCCTTCCCAGCCTGTGTCCAAACTGTTCCCAGATTCCCTCTCTGAGAAATGAGCAGGGAGCTGATCGCGCTGGGGAAGATTTACTTTCCTGTTCCCCACTCCTCCTCCCCCCCCCACCTTACAGGAAGTGCAGATCAATGCAGTTCAGTGCATTCCTGCCAGGTGCAAAACCCAGGGCTCAAAAGGCCCCCCACCTTCTGTCTCATACTGGACAAAGAGTCGATGCCTCCATTCTCCTATTCTGATCCAAAAGGACGGATCCGGCTGCCTCCCTGTGCGATCAGCCCTCCCAGCTGGACTGGGCTTAGGCAGGGCCCGTGACCACTCTGGGACGGGGGGGGGGTTTGAGGGGTCCCAACTGCTGTAGCTGGTGAGCTGTCCTAGAAACTGGGACAGGGGGTGGGGGAAACGTTTTGGAGGAGGTTGCTAGGTGGGGCTCCCCTGACTGGGGGCCAGTTGGCTCGCCGGCCTGACTCGGCTCATGACGCTTCGGGGTGCGGGGCAGCCAAGGGTCAGAAGAGAAGGGGCCGTCTTGGGCGGGGGCTCCTGGACCAAGTGGACGATGGCCTTTGGGTCACAGCCGCACGGGGGCAGGACGGGAAGGGGGGACCCTGGTGGGGAAACAAGCAGGGGAAGAGGAGGCAGGGAGAGCCCCCATTCCACCCCCTGCCGCAGAGGACATGAACCCCCCCATGAGCCTTGAAGCCAGAATCCCCCACTGGGGAAGGAGGGGCCGTCCCCCGCTCCAGGAGAGCTTCAGATTGCACACCCGCAGATCCTGGGGCCAGATCTGGCCACCTGGCCCGGCCCGTGAAGGGCAGTCGCAGAAGCTGTACACGGATCCTTAGCGAGCAGGGGCCAAGAGTCGGGTCAACGCCGTGGCCTTCCTGCTCCACCAGGAGACTTCAGCTGGGATGCTCAAGACAGCTGCCGGGGAGGAAGGCAAGCCCACCAGAGCCCAAGCCTCAGGGCCCCTCCTTTGCTGCCATCGCCCCCCCCCGCCAGCAACAGACAGGGATGGAGGGAGGAGAGAGGGGTCACTCTCATTGAGTTGGAACCTGCAGCCCCCTCTCCTTGGTCAGCGTTTTGCACATCTGACCACATCCTGAGTCAACCTCTCCAGAGTGCTGCTTGCATGAAGGCTTTGAGGTGCCTCCCCCCAACACACACACACACACACTCACACCCACACCTACCAAAGTCCCACAGAATGCCAGTGCCAGCCCTGGGCATCACCCAGGGATGTTCACCTCCCTCAACTCTCCCTCCCTCCTTTCTGTGGGGCCAGAGCTGTACTCTTTGCAAGCTGGCTCAGCAGTTTGTGGGGGGCCGGGGGGGGGAAACTGGGATGGCTTCCCAACCTGACTTGAGACGGAGAGCCAGGGACTGGGGGCAGGGTGTGTGTGTGTGTGTGTTGTCACAGTGGCCTTTCTGAGCAGCCTCCAGGGCACGGGTGCAGCGGCTCAACAGACGCCCCTGTTTTCTTTTTGCAGAAGCGACGCCATGGGGTGCCCCACACTCTGGGGGCGGCTGCTGCTGCCGCTGCTGCTGCCACCGCTCCTCCTCTTTCCCGCCTGTGCCTTTGCCCAAGGCTGCCCCGCGGAGTGCCAGTGCAACCCGGCCCAGATGGTCTTCTGCATCTCCCGGAGGACCCACGCCGTCCCGCAGGGGCTGCCGCCCGACACGGCCAACCTGTACCTCTTCGAGAACGGCATCCGCTCCCTGAGCGAGGACAGTTTTGTGGGGCTGCCCGCCCTCCACCTCTTGGACCTCTCCCAAAACGAGATCGCCAGCCTCCCCCACCACGTCTTCCAGCCGCTGCCGGGCCTCCGGAACCTCGACCTCTCCTCCAACCAGCTGCGCAGGATCACCAACGAGAGCTTCCGTGGCCTGCACCAGCTGGAGCGCCTCTACCTGCACCGCAACCAGATCCAGCACATCCACCCGGCGGCCTTCGAGGCCCTGCCGAACCTCCTGGAGCTGAAGCTCCAGGCCAACCAGCTGCAGGCGGTGCCCCCACTCCACCTGCCCGCCCTCTTGCTGCTGGACCTCAGCTGGAACAGGATTGGGGCCCTGGAGCCGGGCACCTTCCAGGTCCCCAACCTGGAGTCCCTGAAGATCGCCGGGCTGGGCTTGCACCGCCTGGAGGAGGAGCTGATCTCCGACCTCCAGAACCTCCACGAGCTGGACCTCTCGGACAACCTGCTGGCCGCAGTGCCCAGCGTGCTGCCACGGCTGCGCAGCCTGACCAAGCTGAGCCTGGCGGGCAATGCACACATCTCCCAGCTGCTGCCCGGAGACTTCGGAGCGCTCCGCAACCTCCAGGAGCTGGACATCAGCAAGCTGAACCTCCACAGCCTGCCCGAAGGCTTCTTCGGTGCCTTCCCCCGGCTCAAGGCGGTCACCGCGGCAGAGAACCCCTTCAATTGCATCTGCCCGCTGAGCTGGCTCATCGCCTGGGCGAGCGCCGGCAAAGCCTCCCTCCGGAGGTCCAAGGAGACCCGGTGCCACTTCCCCCCGAAAAACGCCGGCAAAATGCTCCTGCATCTCGAATACGCGGATTTCGGCTGCCCAGCCACAACCACCGTCACCCCCACCGTGAAAGCCACCAGCCCCAAGCTCGCCACGCCCGCCCCTAGCAGCGAGCAGGCCTCCCCCGAGCCGAGTACCCCCGGCCGAGTACCCCCGGGAGAAAGCAGCCCCACGGCCACGCCCTTCACCTTCCTGCAGTTCCTGCCAAGGCCGGGGCGCTATCTCTGCCCGCCGCACACCTGCCTGAACGGTGGGGTGTGCCAGCTGGATGCCCAGAACCACCTGGAGTGCGTCTGCCCCTTAGGCTTCTCGGGGCTGTTCTGCGAGACCCAGGGGCCGGTGACCACGGCGGCCAGCCTCACCCAGGCCCCAACGCCCCCCGACCCCGTCGTGGTCAAGCATGTCGGCGGAACCTCGCTGAAGGTGGACCTGCAGAACTACGTCCGCTCCAAGAGCCCGCTGAGGGGCCTCCGCCTCACCTACTGGAACCTCTCGGGGCCAGACAAGCGGCCCGTCACCCTCAGCCTGCCCGCCTCCCTGCCCGAGTACACGGTGCGGGCCCTGAAGCCGAACTCGTCCTACCGGATCTGCATCGGGCCCCTGGGGGACAAAGCCCACGAGGAAGACCTCTGCGTGGAGGCCCAGACGGCGCAGGCCACGCAGCAGCAGCAGCAGCACCACGCCCCCGTCACCCAGGGCCCAGAGGCCAGCCTGACGCTCGTGGTCGTCCCGGCTGTGGCTGCCCTCTTGCTCCTGGTGGCTGGTGTGGCGATCGTCTCCTGCTACGTGTGGAGACGGCGGCGGCAGCGGCGACAGAGGAAGGCTCTGGGCCCATCCCCTCTTCCTCCTCCTGCTTCCGTGGCCCGTGGTCCTGACCCACTGGAGCTGGAGGGGGTGAAGGCGTGCCTCGAGAAGGGAGACGCGGCCGGACCTGCGCAGAAGACGGCCGCGGAAGGGGCCCCCAACGGCTTGGAATGCGAGGTGCCGCTCATGCAGCCGCCCTTCCCCGGCAGCACAACCCCACGGCTGGCACCGCCTTCTTACTTTTAGGGACAAGAAGGGGGCCCCAGTCCAGAAGCCCCCCCCCTTGGGGTAAAGGCATCCGGAGAAAGTGGCCTTCCAGACCCCAGGAGGAGGAGGAGGAGGAGGCTCCTCTTGCATTGAAGTAGACCCCTCCCATCAGCCGGAGTTGGAGCAAGTGCCTACTTTGGGGAGACGGCCGCCCCCACGGGTCCACACAAGGCGCTCCGGCAGCACCCGTGGAGGCAAAGAACCCCT